TTTAATACATATCGACTCTTAGTTGTACCCACGTATTGTTGTTTAATACATATCGACTCTTAGTTGTACCCACGTATTGTTGTTTATACATATCGACTCTTAGTTGTACCCACGTATTGTTGTTTATACATATCGACTCTTAGTTGTACCCACGTATTGTTGTTTATACATATCGACTCTTAGTTGTACCCACGTATTGTTGTTTATACATATCGACTCTTAGTTGTACCCATGTATTGTTGTTTACTTAATTTTTGAACTCCTCCCACAGTTTTCTCACAAAATGACTTGAATTTTTCATTTGTAAGATCTTGACCCTCACAAAATAAAAATGAATGAAAAAAAAGTTTTAAGAGAATTTGAAGAGACCCCATAGATAGAAAGGTCAAGAACAGTTTTTGGGGGAGGGAGGCTCTCAGGTTTGACTAAACCAGGTTAATTAAAAATCGGTACTAACATTCAAGAATATATTCAGAATAATAATTTAAATTCAGTAAATTTTTAGAAAATTTTCAAATTGGCTTCTCCATATGAGGGTGGAGGTCACTTTGGGGGATCTCGATACTGGATCCACAAATTACACAAAAATTGACATTTAGTCAAAGATTTAACATCAGAAATTATCATAAAATTTTAAAAGTATGATGATATTTAGTATTATCTCAGTAGCTGGTTTTATAGTTTAAATACAACAAAAAATATTTTAGGTGTGGAAAAAATTATCCATTTCATCATTTCAAACGAGCTCATAAAATTTAATCAAAGGCTCACCTTCCCAATAATGTCTTCAGCTCTTCTGCTACTGGTTTCAGAGAGTATTTTTCCACACGCTGACCATCAGGGCGACCCAGATGACTCATAAGTACCACTGATTTGGCCCCTTGAGTTAAAGCATGCTTAATGGTATCTAAAGCTGCGACAATTCTGTGTAAAAAGACTTTAAGATAAAGTTACTTATGCTAAACTCTTAACCTTACAAGTTTGTGTATGCTAGTAAATTACACATTACACAAAACCATGTGCACACATTGTTTTGAGCATCCACCCATGCATTTTTGTTATTTCTCAAATAAATAAGTGTTGTCATTTCTGAGTGTCTAAAGCTTCCTTGATCCTCCCCCCTCTCATTTTAATTTCACAATATGGAAATCTTGATCCCTTATACGGAGCAGAAAATATTAGTGATAAGACATCCATCGAAACAGGATAACAAAAGATCGTAGAGTGCTTTAAACACTCCTCCTTCATCAAAAACTCCCTGAAGAAGACCACAGCAGAAAGAAATAATCAGAAAAACACTACCACTACTACCATTTACCTACCATACCTGCAAATTTTCAGTGAAAAACTCAAACACTAAGCCAAGAAATTCAACATAGAAGTCTGGTGGAAATTCTACAAGACATCAAGATCCATTCTAGTAAAAAACAAACACAAAAAAGTCGTTTATGAAACACTCACGACAAGAATAAAAGAACATAAAGACAGCACAAGACTCATGAAAACACAAAATTTAGACATTGCAGAACACATCATGCCAACTGGACACAAAATAAACTGGGAAAAAACCAGAATCATCAACACAGACAAATTTTAGAAGACAAGAAAAATTAAATAATTAACACAATAAAACTTTCACTAAACAGAGATTCTGGATTAGAGGTGAGTAACCCGTGGTTACCATTGGTTGAATCTACAGGAAGTCTCTCCATTAATCAGCAACAGGGATAAACCAAACCAATCATAACATACCCTCCACAATCAGAATACAATAAAGACCACCACCACCACCACACATACTGACCTAAAGACGAAACGCAGAAGACTTTCTAAATGTCGTCTTCTACACTTGTGTTTCTACACCAGGCAGTTACCATCCACTCAACTAAGTCTATTACACCAAAGCCTATTACAATTATATAGGCCATCAGTAGATTACACCTGTTATCAGCCAGTCAATTTTTCCTCACCATTGGGGAACCATTAGTAAGACAAGAATTAGTCATCCCTAAGGTAAGTTATATACAGCATGATGTAGTTGTGAAATATTTTAATACTTTGGAGTGACATTACATCCTCAGTTGAAAATGTTAAAAAAAACAAACTAGACAGAACATTTATAAGACCAAGTTTCTACAGATGTTATGTTGACGACACCTTCGTTATTTGGCCCCACGGTCATGAAAACTTACCAGCCTTCCTACAACATCTTAATTCTGTAGACAAAAGAATCCACTTCACCATGGAGGTAGAGGAATAAAACAGCCTACCATTTCTTGCCATACTAATAGGCAGACAAGAGAGACAAATCATGACTGTATACAGAAAACCCACCCACAAGAACAGATATCTACACTTCAAATCCTATAATCCAACCTTAATAAAACGTAGTATTATCCAATACCTAAACAAGATATATATATTGCAAATAAGAAACATTCCATTCATATATATTTCTATAATTCTGTATACCGTAAAATGTATTTTTAAGATACATAAATTGTGTGTTATTCTTTTTGGAAAGACAGTTTCTAAAAGGATATAAGCTAATAATAATAAATTGTAACACTTTAAGTAGAAATGCCCATTCTTGTCTTTGTTTATTAAAAAAAAGTTATTTTTAAACTGTAAAATTTGCATCGTTTTGACATCGATTTCATTATGTTTAATTGATCTTGATAACAGAGATGTTAAATTTCTGCCTGACTGTGTTGGAGCAGAAGTAGAGGCAGCATGTCAGGATCCATCAGAAGGATCTGTGATTCTACTGGAAAACTTAAGGTTTCACGTCGAAGAAGAAGGCAAGGGAGTCGATGCTCAAGGACAAAAGGTAATATATGTCATAAGATTATTAGTACACCAAGCTTTTATTTAGACCTGTTTAAGTTTTATTAAAATATGATAGACAATAAGAAGAAATACGCGGGTAATACAGTGTTCATCTTCATACAAAAACTTGCTTAATAGAAGTATGTAAAATAACTGATACAAGCAGTTATAAGCATCATCACGACAGTATTTTTTCATTTGTGTAAGAAATATATTTGTTAATAAATGCACTAAAACTCAGTATTATATAACAAAATTGCTCTATGTGAAAGTAGAAGTTATTTCAAACTATATTGTTTAGCCCCTGCTTCTAAAACAGACTTGTGTGCTTCTTCTGATACGTGTAAAAGGATACTTCATATAATGCTCTTATTTTATTCTAGATAAAGATGACGTTTGTTTGATATTCTAATCACATATAACTAAATCATATACATTTATTAGTGAACTTAAAATTGATGTTATTAACCCTAGAATGCAGTGTTCAATTTTCAAACATTAACACCGGGTGGTATGAGATCCTAGCGACACCACGGTGGTGTTCTAGGGTTGAATCGCTTAAATTACAAAATAGGAAACCAACAAAAAATAGTTTTATGAAGACTTCTCTTGCCACAACCTTGCAATATTTAACATAACAACATGGATAGATTTGTCATTTTGACTCTGTTATTACAGACTTGATAAATGTTGGGTAATCTAATTTAAGGATCAGTCGAGAGACAATAGACTACCTTTACTGTTTAAATTCAACAGCATTTAAAATAGCCACTGCTAGAAAATTGTTTTATCATATTCAGTATATTTAAGTCAACAGTTAAAATATGCTTGAGAAGATAACCTATTACCAGATTTGGCCGAGTGTGACTCGGTGATTAGCGTGGTATACTTTTGAACTGATGTTTCGTGGTTTGCATCCCACTATGTAACAAAATATCGTGCTCTACGCTTAGACGATGTGGGTGCATTATAAAAGTGACAGTCAAACCCTGTTGTTTGGCCTGACAAGAGCTGGAGGATGATGATGGTGACTAACTGGTTTCCCTCTAGTAGATCAGGATGGCTAGAGCAGATATCCTTCTTGTAGCCTTACACAAAACCCAGATTTATTAAGTTGGTGATACCATGTTAAGGGAGCATTTAAAAAATAATAAATGTCTCAATACATGAACAATATTTGATGAAATTTTTGTTGGTGTTTTTGAATTACATTGTGACAGGAATATTGGTCGGAGTTGGTGAGAGTTTGACAAATTTTCAGGTGTTTTTTTATGCCATGAATTTGTTAAACTTTAACAGCCTCAAAGTGGATCAGGCTTTAGTTGCTTTTCTTCAAGTTTCAAGATAGATGTCTAATATTTTACAAAGCTGGTTTCATGAAATATTTTTTAAGAGATGACAGAAATGGTGAACTTTTTACACCTAGCTACGTCGTTGGTTGGAAAACTGTAATGTAATTAAAATTTTGATACATTGTTAGCCATGCTGAATTAAGATTCTAATTTCAGTGCGATTAATTAATGTTGTTAACCTGGATGAGCTAAAAGCTCTTAAATTAATTATAACTTCTGTTGTGTTTATATAGTATTGTATTTGTAATAAATATAAATATTATTTTAACTTGGAGTTCTTATTCAAATTGCTCCCAAACTTGCAACTAGTATATCAAGATTGTTTGATTTTTTTGTTTGCAAAATTATTTTAACAAACTAAAATGAAAACCTTCATATATGCTAATAGAGTTGTAGCCAACCTTTTTAAAGCTCAAAATCCCCCAAAAAAATATATGTAACTTCCAACTGATAATAAGCCACAACTTTTACTAAGTAAGAATTCTCACTGATATATTTTTTTAATTCAATTATACCAGTTCAGATGGGGGTATTCTACTCTGTATGAATAAAAATAGACGAAATAAGTATTACATCCTCGGAAATCAAAATCAGCCTGCAACCACTAGATAGCTGTATGCAATTCGTACGTTGCTGGTTGGCCATACCAAAACTCGTGTAGTATGAAGTAGTTCATAAAATTGGGTACCCATAAAATAAGAATACGTGTGTGACTGATCATCTCATCGTAAGAAGTGATTTATAAATTTTTCCTTAGTTGTGTGATCATTAGAATTTATATTTTCAATTTCTACGTTTAGGTGAAAGCGAGCCCAGATGCTGTTGCAACGTTCCGTGCTTCTTTGACTAAACTTGGAGATGTTTATGTGAATGATGCTTTTGGTACTGCCCATCGAGCTCACAGGTATTACACCTAGCTACTACATCTTTGGTTAAAATAGAATCATGTATTGAAATTTTAATTATATAAAACTATTTGTTAGCCAGATATCTATAAAAATTGTTTTATCATATTTTTTGTAATTATAAAGATTGACACTAGATAGCTTTTCATCGTATTTTCTAGCTCCATGGTAGGTGTAGAACACGCTCAAAGAGCAGCAGGATTTTTGCTAAAGAAAGAGTTGACCTACTTTGCCAAAGCTTTGGAGAATCCAGAAAGGCCTTTCCTTGCTATTTTAGGAGGGTATGTAATGCATTCTTCTTTGCGTGTTTTTAAATGTTGAGATTTTGATACTAAGCCTACCAGTTTTACATTAACGTATGAAGTACAGTGAGGCTGTGTGAATAAAATGGTGAAATTTTGAATTTGAGACTTCTGTTTGAATGTTGTGTATTTAGGTTTTCATGTCCCCAAATGTAAGTTAGTCATTTTAAAATCATAATCAACCCAGTTTTTAATTGTAGCAAAACTTACAATATTTACACTTGCTGATCTACAGCTCGTGCTTCACCAGCCCACGAATTAATTATTATGAAGAGAATATTTGAAAATTAACATGATAAAGTCGAAGTGTAAACATAATTTTTACGAACCAGTAAGATCGGAATCAGTCAGTGCTGTTAGAACTTTCAAGTTCTAAGGTGATGTCAGTGTATAATGTCAGAAGAAATAATGTTGAGCACTTGGTTTAAAATTTAAATAAGTGAAAACGTTATATAATAATCTATAGGATAAAATAAGCATCTAATAAGGAATCCAAACTTGGGCAGAGATAGTAACCAACAGTGGTGAATGAAGTAATATTCACACGAGTTTCTCTCTGTATCTATTTTTTTAGCTAGTACTGTAGAGAATAATGGGGAATAAAAAAAAAGTTAATGAAAATGTTTGCTTTTCAGCAAAATAATAATTTAAAATTATCAAATTACAATATTGAAAAATGAAAAAAAACCAATTACATTATTTTAATTTTATACATTTTCAGAAAAAAAAAGATTTATTTGTTTTGATCTGTTACAAAAGCTGCTTGAACACGCATACACAAGATAGAGAGTGAGATTTTGAATTTTTTTATTTATTTTTTCATGTTGACCACTGCCTCTTTTGTCAAGCCATTTATATATATGTATATTTTTGGAATGACCTCTCCACATAGAGCTAAAGTAAAGGATAAGATCCAGCTTATTGAAAACATGTTGGACAAAGTGAATGAGATGATTATAGGAGGAGGGATGGCATTTACCTTCCTGAAACAACTGAATGGGATGCATGTAAGTGTCTTGTTTTTTAACACTCTGCTCTACTGCTACATATTTCTTCAACAGCTTAAATCTGAACCTGCACCAAATATACTAACGCTTTCGGTGTTGAAAGCTTTTAATGTTATAGTCAATCCCACTGTTTGTTGGTAAACATTGGCATTGGGTACTGCTGGTCACTTGCCTTAGCTCTGGTCAGCAGCTCAAAATTAGACAGTGACACATAGCCTTAGTGGCTATGCCATAAATCAAACAAATCGTTTTATTGGCCATTTCGAGTTAATTTATTTAACAATATATTATTTCTGTAATTTTTCCAGTGACTGTATATGTTGACATATGTCACAAGTTGCATTATTTTTCTGTTATTTGATAATATATATATATAATTATATTACTTAGAGATTTGGTGCTATTTTTACTGTTTTTTTTTAATTTTGTAAGATTGGAAACTCGTTATATGATGAAGAAGGAGCGGGAATTGTAGGAAAACTAATGGAAAAAGCCCAGAAAAATGGGGTACAGATTCATCTGCCCGTGGACTTTGTTACTGCTGATAAGTTTGATGAAGCTGCCACTACAGGTTCAGCAACGGTAGACTCGGGTATTCCTGCAGGTTGGATGGTATGTTATTATAGACCTTAGTATGTGGAGCGATATTGGTTCAGCAACTATTTTTTTACTTACCAGCATAGGCAGGATTTGGGGGGCAATTGTCCCCTCATTCTGTGAATATAGTATATATACACAACATTCACAATAAACAATTCAGATTGTTTTTTTTCCTCCCACTGCTCAGACACACGCACAAATTTTCGTCCCAAATCTCACCCATACTTACCACTATACTTTGCTGAACCACCCATAGTGAACATCATGCTTTTGACATCTGTGTACAGCATTATACTTATTTAAATAATTATAATCTATGTATATGATTTCCATGTCAAAAACCCTGTGTCTAAATATAGTTATGGCTGAAAATGAATTTAAAAAACATTGTTGTTTTTTCTCACTTCAAACTTAGGCTATATTTAAGGATCTGCTTTATTTTCTCTCTATTGACTACCACTCTCACTTCAAACTTAGGCTATATTTAAGGATCTGCTTTATTTTCTCACTTCAAACTTAGGCTATATTTAAGGATCTGCTGTTTTTTCTCACTTCAAACTTAGGCTATATTTAAGGATCTGCTTTATTTTCTCACTTCAAACTTAGGCTATATTTAAGGATCTGCTTTATTTTCTCACTTCAAACTTAGGCTATATTTAAGGATCTGCTTTATTTTCTCTCTATTGACTACCACTCTCACTTCAAACTTAGGCTATATTTAAGGTTCTGCTTTATTTTCTCTCTATTGACTACCACGCCTGAAGTGAAACTCGATTTTTTTTCTTTATTGCATTAATTTCATTTAACTAGAGATCAAAATGCAATGAATATCAGCAAAAGAAAATTTATTGTGTAAGTAATGCAAGATTTTGTTTATTTTTGTTAGGGTCTTGATTGTGGAGATAAAAGTATTGCAAAGTTCTCTGAAGCAGTCCAGCGAGCAAAAACAATCGTATGGAATGGGTAAGTTGCTTGGTCATTTTGTTGCTGTTAATTTGTACCTATTACGGTATTTTCAGAACATGAATATACCATAAACTGTAACCTTTTTGTTATTGAAACTGGATTTTTTTTTACAATTTCTATTCACAGAATTTGACAGATTACAGAAGGGTGTCATCAACTAGATATTAATGGGAAAACTTATACAAGGAATAACAAAAGTGGGCTGTTACATGCTTCTAGATAGATAATACTAATGGTACCTGGTGCAGATTTTGTAAAAGTATCTTGCATAACCCTTTAGAGACTGGTTACAGGTGAAAGATCAAATCATCTCGTTTGTTGACTCGCATTCAAAATTTTATTGAACTACTATTTTGTGAATTTATGTCAGTAAGTTTGGTATCAAACTGTAGATTATAATTCAAATTTTAGTACTGTATATTTTCCAATTTCTTAATTTAAAAGTAAATATTAAAAACACAGATAAACATCAATTTTTGTGTGTCACGTGGTATGTAGGATGCAGCACTGGTTCAAATTAGATGTTTGTGAAGTCAAAATACTAAGACTATAGTTTTGTATGAATTAGAAACTCAAATTACCGATATTGACAGGCTAGAATATAAAATAAGAATGTCTTATCTTTTCTATTTGCTAAGATATTGCTCATGTAATAAATCAAATGCAGTTGCACCCTGCCCATCTATTTCCATTTTTGGAAAAACTCCCTTATATACACTTCTATATATATATGATATGAATATCCAATCGGAGGCTCAGAATGTCCCCCTAGTGGCTTTCTCAGCCATTTTAATAGGCTTGGAAGCCAATACATTCTTTTGAACCAATATTTCAAGGAGGTAGAGTTGTGTCTTTAGTCTGCTCGAAATTTCATATTTTTTTAAAATAAAATACATCTTAGTTACTAAGCTTGATAAATGATAGTAGAATTTATTGTATTAATGTAGTAATTTATTATTATTTAGTTATTAAAATGTATATA